CATACGCCCGGACATGCCGGGACATGCCCCTCAAAGTTCGTGCATGCAGACCGTCTTGCACCTAAGGGTGTGTGGACTCTTTGCGATCCTCTTCCTTGACTTAAGTCTCACATGTATCCGTTTGAAAGGAAGCAGAGGAAGCTGAGAGTCACAAAACCCCCATCAGATGCTTAGCACTCCGGTCCTGACCACAAAGGAAAACAAACCATGCTGGCCAGCCCACTAGGCAAGAGTGTTGCTGCGGAGCAAGGAGGACACAGCAACCGACTCAAGCTATTCCATGCAAAAGACATTGACATGTTGATGATCGTATGCTCGGGCAGCATATTTTCACCTATTGACTTCGTGAGTCATGACATCGCGGAAGCTACAAGCAATCGAGAATGCCATCCCAGGGAGAAGTGATAAAGTCGCAAGTCTGGCGAACTTGACTGGCGCGAAGCCCGGACTCCGCCAGACTTCCGCCGGTATATTCAGACATGTTCGCAAAGATCGGGCATAGACGATGGCACCTTCGGGAATTGGCGACCACACAAGTAGGAAGCCAAGCCATGCTGCCAACTCCCCCTGTGCAAGCACCATGCATTTCTCGGCGCCTTTGTGTATAAATCTGTGTATTGATATACATGAATAGATGCAAAAATATACATATGTATAAATATATATATATATATATATATGTATACAGATGCATATGCAGAAAGAGCTCGGTATGCCGGTATGCATGTACATGTACCTCCCGGGGTCCCGAGCTATGGGCGTGCTTGTACCACATGAACCTGGGTGCGAAGCTTTAGAGAAAAGGAGCACAGCAATTTGTTGAGAGCTGATGGTTTGACGACAGAAACTCTGCTGGTCCATCCCAGTTTTTTCTTAAAGGTTGCCACTTATTCCCTCAAGCACTTCAAACTTCAAGCAATCAAGCCCCGTGTGATTGGGGCTCTGGCTCGTCGTGGTGGGTTCTGCAAGGAAAAGGCCTGCCAAAGGGCAAGTGCTCTGGAGAATAGCATACATAAGAAGTTGGACATGCGCGTTTAAGTATGGATATACAGATACAAACACACGTTGTGTATCCTCATGCGTACACAGGGACATAGACAGCGAAAAACAGAGAGAGAGAGAGAGAGAAAAAACACACATATACGTATGTATATACATTTAGGTACATATATATATATATACACGCATATGTATATGCGCATGCGTATATGCGTGTATATCTTGTATATACTTACTTGTGTTTTTACATATACACATAACAAAAAGAAGAAATGAAAAATAAATATACATATATATATATACATATGTATACAGATGCATATGCAGAAACAACTCGGCATGCATATGCATGTACTTCCCGGGGTCCCGACCTGCTGGTGTGCTTGCACAACATGAACCTGGGTGCAAAGCTTTAGAGAAAAGGAGCACGAAGATTTGTTGAGGCGTGATGGCATGACGACACAAACTCTGCTGGTCCATCCAAGCGATTTGGGGTCTGCAAGAGTGTGCGATGTTGGCACGAAGAGTTGGGCTTTGTCTTAAAAGTTGTGACTTGCATAGTTCTCTCAAGCACTCCAAACTTTAAGAAATCAATCCCAGTCACACTGGGGCTCTGGCTCGTCGTGGTGGGTTCTGAAAGGAAAGGGCCTGCAAAAGGGCAAATGCTCCGGAGGGTAGCGTGCTGGATATACAGATACAAACACACGCATGCAGATGCAAATGCACATGCGCAATCCCATATGGTTGTGTATCCTCATGCGTGCACAGGGACATAGACAGTGAGAGACAAAGAGAGAGAGAGAGAGAACCAGACATACATATACGTATGTATATACATATATGTGTATACATATATGTGTATACTATATGTATATACTATATGTATATACTATATGTATATACTATATGTATATACTATATGTATATACTATATGTATATACTATATGTATATACTATATGTATATACTATGTATATATATATATATATGTATATGCATATGTATATGCGCATGCGTACATGTCTGTATACAAAAATAAACAAACAAATAAATAAATGTGTATATGTACATATATGTATACAGATGCATATGCACTTCCCGGGGTCCCGACTTGCTGGTGTGCTTGCACAACATGAACCTGGGTGCAAAGCTTTAGAGAAAAGGAGCACGAAGATTTGTTGAGGCGTGATGGCATGACGACACAAACTCTGCTGGTCCATCCAAGCGATTTGGGGTCTGCAAGAGTGTGCGATGTTGGCACGAAGAGTTGGGCTTTGTCTTAAAAGTTGTGACTTGCATAGTTCTCTCAAGCACTCCAAACTTTAAGAAATCAATCCCAGTCACACTGGGGCTCTGGCTCGTCGTGGTGGGTTCTGAAAGGAAAGGGCCTGCAAAAGGGCAAATGCTCCGGAGGGTAGCGTGCTGGATATACAGATACAAACACACGCATGCAGATGCAAATGCACATGCGCAATCCCATATGGTTGTGTATCCTCATGCGTGCACAGGGACATAGACAGTGAGAGACAAAGAGAGAGAGAGAGAGAACCAGACATACATATACGTATGTATATACATATATGTGTATACATATATGTGTATACTATATGTATATACTATATGTATATACTATATGTATATACTATATGTATATACTATATGTATATACTATATGTATATACTATATGTATATACTATGTATATATATATATATATTTATATGTATATGCATATGTATATGCGCATGCGTACATGTCTGTATACAAAAATAAACAAACAAATAAATAAATGTGTATATGTACATATATGTATACAGATGCATATGCACTTCCCGGGGTCCCGACTTGCTGGTGTGCTTGCACAACATGAACCTGGGTGCAAAGCTTTAGAGAAAAGGAGCGCAAAGATTTGTCGATGCGTGATGGCATGACGACACAAACTCTGCTGGTCCATCCAAGCGATTTGGGGTCTGCAAGAGTGTGCGATGTTGGCACGAAGAGTTGGGCTTTGTCTTAAAAGTTGTGACTTGCATAGTTCTCTCAAGCACTCCAAACTTTAAGAAATCAATCCCAGTCACACTGGCTGCAAAAAGGCCAGTGCTCCGGAGGGTAGCGCGCAGACTTTGTTGGACATACACGTTTAAGTATGGACGTACAGATACAAACACACGCATGCAGATGCAAATGCACATGCGCAATCCCATATGGTTGTGTATCCTCATGCGTACACAGGGACATAGACAGCGAGAGACAAAGAGAGACCAAAAAATGCACATATGTATGTACATATGTTCACATCTATATATATATATATACCTGCACACATGAGTAAATGCGCATGCGCATATTGGTGTATATCTTGTGATTGTGTGTGTATATACAAAAAAACATAATATATACATATATTTATATACAGATGCATATGCAGAAAGAGCTCGGTATTCCGGTATGCATGTACATGTACCTCCCGGGGTCCCGACCTGTTGTACCACATGTACCTGGGTGCGAAGCTTTTTTAGAGAAAAGGAGCACAGCAATTTGTTAAGACTTGATGGTTTGACGACACAAACTCTGCTGGTCCATGCCGGCGATTTGGGGTCGGCAAAGGCACGCGATGTTGGCACAAAGAATTGGTTTTTTTCGTAAAGGGTGTGACTTGAATTCCCTCAAGCACTCCAAACATACATATACACACATATCTATGTTTGTATGTGTATACACACACACACGCATATGTATATGCGAATGCGTATATGCGTGTATATCTTGTATATACCTGTGTAGATATACACATATACATATATGTATTTATGTATACAAATGCATATGCAGAAACAGCTCGGTATGCATATGCATGTACTTCCCGGGGTCCCGACCTGCTGGTGTGCTTGTGCAACATGAACCTGGGTGCGAAGCTTTAGAGAAAAGGAGCGCAAAGATTTGTGGAGGCGTGACGGCATGCCGACACAAACTCTGCTGGTCCATCCTAGCGATCTGGGGTCTGCAAGGGCACGCGATGTTGGCGCGACGAGTTGGGCTTTGTTTTAAGGGTTGTGACTTGCATAATTCTATCGAGCACTCCAAGCTTTAAGAAATCAAGCCCTTGTGACTGGGGCTCTGGTTCTAAAGGCTGCAGAAAGGAGTTGCGCAAGCTTCCGTGGCAAACAAACGTCCTGTCTCTCAAGGTAGCCAGGAAAGCTGGACAAAACCTGAAGGAGTGCACCGCTGAGGAATATCCTTGGCCAGGAAGTGGGTTTTTCATCTGATACCTGCGTCCCACAGAAGGAGTTTTACCTGAATCCTGTGTGACAGGCATAGCCACTGTCGTTACGTCTAAATGGCGGCCCAGGCTCCAACAAGTCAGAGCGTGGTAAAACCAGAACCAACGAAGGTGCTAAGTCTGAAGGCCGGTAAACCGTGAGAAGCTCAGCTCGATGCACGTGGTGAGCAACTCAGGTACCGCACCACCTTGCAACTGACTAGTCGCTGAAGTCAGCCAGTCTGTCATTGCAAAGCACCAAGGTACCGACTGCGGTCAACGCCGTGGCAAGCTCCGGAGCCAGCCCTCCGCAACAAAGACACGCATCGTGAACGTGACGATGTAAACTTGAACATTTCTAAGCAACATTCATCCCGCCTTGTATGAGCTGGACTCGTTCCTCCGGCTCTGCCTCCTGACACGTGCAGCTTCTCACTGCAAGGATAGGACAAAGACTGCCTGGATTGGACATACTGAAATCACTGCACCTACTCCCAGCTCTCCATTCAAGTGCCCTCTGACAACCGAAGCTTTCACACACAGAAGTCATAAATCCCTGACGGTTTGCACTTCTGTTCCAACTGCTTTCGCGACGGTGGCGTGGTCTGCGATATCCGGACTTCTCTGGAGTCCGTTCGATGTTCACATTCCTTACCGGAATGATTTTTGTAGTCTAAAGGACCGACCGATCTCCCATCGGTGAGATGCAACTTCGTTGTCACCTATGATCTTCTTAGCTCGGGCTATCGGAAGATTTCCATGTGGTTCATCTGGCAGAGGTCCTCGATGTTCTCGGCGATCTCTTCGACTCTTGCAAATATCGACTGCTTGTCGGTCGTCGTTGATGGTCGAAGCAGTTCACCTTCGAGAGACTCGATGCGTAGGCCCAGGAGGCGAACATCCCGTCGGTGATCGTCGAGAGTTTCTTCTATTCGTTGCCACCAACCCATGGAATCAGATGAACCCCGGTCGCCTACCGCCTACCTTCGACTTGGCTCGAGCGCATCTACGGGGACAAGACTTACAGGTGCGAGGCACAACTGCCCTCGAACGCAGGTCGTGCTTACCGCACTCTCGACAACCTAGTGACTGGGCATTGCTGCAGTCGAGCGTCGCCTCGGCGGAATCGAACCGGGCTTCACATGCCAATTGGGCACTCGCGTGGCATCGCCTAGGCGGAACACACTTGGCACCGTGGACTTGTCGCCCTGAATCGTGTACTCAGACTCATGGATCTCCCTCGAGGACATCGGCATCTCCGCGTATCCCCTTGATGAGTCGAAGCTTTTCATGGTCCAATGTCGCCGAAGGAGTGGTCTCCTGTGACATACTGGCTGAACCGGAGCTTCGTGTAGCACAGCGCCATTCGTCGGAGGAAATCGTCCCTCGTAAGGATCACGGTGTCGTCCTTGTCGAAGGTATACGTGGCAAACTCGTAGATCAGCGGGTCTTGCCTGAAGGAAGCCATCGTGTACTTGTCAAAGGACTCCTTGTTGTTGATCGTTTCGTCGATGGGACGGTCGGGGTGAGCCGAGGTCGGGAGAAGGTCGGGCCGGTACGTGTGCTTGGCCTGGAGTTCCTTGGTGTCGTTACCTCTGCGTCGCCTGGGCGGAAAGAGGAACGCGCTTTGCTTCCGAAGCTCGGGGCATTGGACTCGTTGTCGGAGGATTCCGCAAAGGAGAGGTCGAAGCATGGCTTCGGTAGTCGAAGATGACGGTGCTTCTCTTGCCGGTGGGAAGGAACTGCGACCTCGTGCCGGATCGGGTTGTCGGTTCTGCCGAGAAGCCACTGGAGGACGAGACTCACTCCGTCGAGGCGATAGACCCCGTGTAGTTCGAGGAGAGGCCCACGAACTCGAGATACATCGTTGAGTCTGGCTGCTTCCTGAGCACGACGGCAATCTTCACGTACTAGTTCGCCGTCCCTCGGGTCATTCCAATCGTGGTACCTGTGGACCTCGGTGAAATGGGTGCCAAGCCGCCACTTTCGAACTTCTCGACGTCGAAAGTCGCCCGTCGTGGTCCTAATGAGCTTCTCGGCTTCTTGTCGATTGATTTGTCGAAGTGTTCCACCCTCATCGCTTCGAAACTGCACCGGAGGGTATGGACCGCGACTACCGAGTTGTACGTTGAAAGCCGCCTTCAAAGCGGAGTCGAAGGTAACACCGTGTTGGTTCCAGCACGAGGTCGGGGTATTCGCACGTCCCCTGAAACCACTTGTGGCAGATGAAGTCGGGGACAACCAGTGGTCGTTGATAAAATCAGGATGGAAATGACGGCAAGTCGTGCGATTGTTGCAATTCTTGCCCTGGTGATACCGAGGGCAAATCGTAGAGCTAAAGTCCTTATGTGCAATGACAGTGCCATTCGCGACCTGCCAGGGGTAAACCGCCAGCATCGACGCCGGGATGTCGGCATGAAGGTTTCGTAGGAACCGTGACACAAAAAGGCATCCCACGAATCGGCGCCGTCGGACATGGCGGTTCGAGGAAGGTCGAGGGACGAAGAAAAGTTCGTTCAAGACAATCTTATACCAAAATGGCCACGGACATGAACATGTTCGTGTAAGTCGACACTGTAGATCCCAAGTGTCGAAGTTGAAGCATGAAAGCGAGCTGTTGTCACTTCGCACAGCTCACAAGCTCCTACACTTCATGCGCACTTTCGACCGTGCCTGCAGCGCATCGATAAACGGCACCAGGCCGTTTATGATGGCCTCAGACATTCACCAACTCATCATTTGTGTCTGCTCATACTTCCGTGATCAGATCATGCACAATGTGACGAGTGCGGAAGAATCGCTAAATCTGTCAAATCGCCGAGTCACTTGTCGTGCGGCAGCATCCTGCCATAATGCAGGGGTCAGATCATTAGCGCCGGACATCACTACTACTACTACTACTACGACCACTACTCCACTACCACTACTACTACTACTACTACTACCACTACTACCACAACTACTGCTACTACTACTACTACTACTACTCCCACGGCCACTGCCACCACCACCACCACCACCACCATGACCACGACCAGGACGACGACGACCACGGCGACGACGACGACGACAACGACTACTACTACTACTACTACTACTGCTACTATTTCTACGACTACGACTACCGCTACCGCTACGGCAACTGCTACCGCTATGGTTTATGCTGCTGCTTCTGCTTCTGCTCTGGCTTCTGCTACTGCTACTCGTTCTCCTATACCCCTACTCCTACGCCGAAGGCTGTGATGACGGCGACAGAAGATCCTGGACTGTTTCGCATGCACGAGCCTGGGCTTCAGTCAGTCAGCTGGCCTTGAGGTGTTGAACCTGCAAAATGGGGTTTGCTCAAAGGCAAGCAAGCCCACACACACGAACCGAAAATGCATGAACTGACATCACAGCAGTGTTCTGTCTCTCGAATGCCGCTTGAAAAGCCGCACATTGAATTCCCCCAGGTCCCCAGCGGTAGCGGTTCGCTGGCAACAGCTCCTCAACAGTGCAAGAGCAGTTCAGGCAGTTCTGGAGGTGTTTAAGATATAGGATAACCGGAATTGCCAAATGAGGAGGGTGTTTAAGATGTCGGATATCCGGAACCGCCGAATGAGGGGATGTCTTTAAGATACAAGATAACCGGAATTGCCACATGCGGGGGTGTATTTAAGATAAAGGATATAACCGGAATCATCAAATGAAGGGGCCGTGTCTAAGATATAGGATAACCGGAGTCGCCAAATGAGGAGGTGTCTGTGAGATACAGGATAACCGGAATTGCCGAATGAGGGGGTGTGGTTAAGATATTCGGTAACCGGAATCGCTAGATGAGGGGTGTGCTTAAGATACAGGCTAACCGGAGTCGCCAAATGAGGGGGTGTGTTTAAGAAATAGGATACCCGGAATCGCCAGATGAGGGGGTCTGTTTCAGACATAAGATAACCGGAGTCGCGAAATGAGGGGTGTAACATAGAAGATAACCGGAATCGCCTAATGAGGGGGTGTGTTTAAGATATAGGATAACCGGAATCACCCAGTGAGGTGGTGTGTTTAAGATAGAAGATAACCGGAATCGCCAAAAGAGGACGCGTGTTGAGGATATAGCTGGAATCGCCAAGGGGTTGTGTTTGAGATATAGGATAACCGGAATCACAAAGTGAGGGGGTGTGCTTAAGATAGAAGATAACCGGAATCGCCAAATGAAGGGTTGTGTTTAAGATACAGGATAACCGGAGTCGCCAAATGAGGGGGTGCCTTTAAGATATAAGACAACCGGAATCGCCAAATGAAAGGGTTGTGTTTAACATATAGGATAAGCGGAATCGCCAAAGGGGCCGTGTTTAAGATATAGGATAACCGGAGTCGCCAAACGAGGGGGTGTGTTTAAGATATAGGACAACCGGAATCGCCAAATGAGCGGGCGTGTTTAAGATATAGGGTAACCGGAATCGCCAAATGAGGGGGTGTGTTTAAGATGTAGGATAACCGGAATCGCCAAATGAGGGGGGGTGTTTGGGGTGTGTTTAAGATATAGGCTCACCGGAATCACCCAGTGAGGGGGTGTTCTTAAGATAGAAGCTGACCGGAATCGCCAAATGAAGGGGTGGTGTTTAAGATATAGGATATAACCGGAATCGCCAAATGAAGGGGCCGTGTTTAAGATAAAGGATAACCGGAGATAAAGGATAACCGGAGTCGCGAAATGAGGGGGTGCGTTTAAGATATAGGACAACCGGAATCACCAAATGAGGGGGCGTGCTGAACATAGCATAACCGGAATCGCGAAATGAGGGGGCGTGTTTCAGATATAGGATAACCGGAATCAGCCAGTGAGGGGGTGTGTTTAAGATACAGGATAACCGGAATGGCCAAATTAGGGGGTGTGTTTAAGATATCGGATACCCGGAATCGCCAAATGAAAGGGTTGTGTTTAACATATAGGATAAGCGGAATCGCCAAATGAAGGGGCCATGTTCAAGATATAGGATAACCGGAGTCGCCAAACGAGGGGGTGTGTTTAAGATATAGGACAACCGGAATCGCCAAATGAGGGGGTGTGTTTAAGAAACAGTTTACCCGGAATCGCCAAATGAGGGGGTGTGTTTAAGATGTAGGATAACCGGAATCGCCAAATGAGGGGGCCTGTTTGGGGTGTGTTTAAGATATAGGCTTACCGGAATCACCCAGTGAGGGGGTGTTCTTAAGATAGAAGCTGACCGGAATCGCCAAATGAAGGGGTGGTGTTTAAGATATAGGATAAAACCGGAATCGCCAAATGAAGGGGCCGTGTTTAAGATAAAGGATAACCGGAGTCGCGAAATGAGGGGGTGCGTTTAAGATATAGGACAACCGGAATCGCCAAATGAGGGGGCGTGCTGAACATAGGATAACCGGAATCGCGAAATGAGGGGGCGTGTTTCAGATATAGGATAACCGGAATCAGCCAGTGAGGGGGTGTGTTTAAGATACAGGATAACCGGAATGGCCAAATTAGGGGGTGTGTTTGAGATATCGGATACCCGGAATCGCCAAATGAAAGGGTTGTGTTTAACATATAGGATAAGCGGAATCGCCAAATGAAGGGGCCGTGTTTAAGATATAGGATAACCGGAGTCGCCAAACGAGGGGGTGTGTTTAAGATATAGGACAACCGGAATCGCCAAATGAGGGGGTGTGTTTAAGAAACAGTTTACCCGGAATCGCCAAATGAGGGGGTGTGTTTAAGATGTAGGATAACCGGAATCGCCAAATGAGGGGGCGTGTTTGGGGTGTGTTTAAGATATAGGCTTACCGGAATCACCCAGTGAGGGGGTGTTCTTAAGATAGAAGCTGACCGGAATCGCCAAATGAAGGGGTGGTGTTTAAGATATAGGATATAACCGGAATCGCCAAATGAAGGGGCCGTGTTTAAGATAAAGGATAACAGGAGTCGCGAAATGAGGGGGTGCGTTTAAGATATAGGACAACCGGAATCGCCAAATGAGGGGGCGTGCTGAACATAGGAGAACCGGAATCGCGAAATGAGGGGGCGTGTTTAAGATATAGGATAACCGGAATCGCCCAATGAAGGGGCCGAAGTCGCCAAATGAGGGGGTGCATTTAAGATATAGGAGAAAACCGGAATCGCCAAATGAAGGGGCCGTGTTTAAGATAAAGGATAACCGGAGTCGCGAAATGAGGGGGTGCGTTTAAGATATAGGACAACCGGAATCGCCAAATGAGGGGGCGTGTTTTAGATATAGGATAACAGGAATCGCCAAATGAGGGGGCGTGTTTAAAATATAGAATCATAGAATATCTGGACTGGCCCAGTGAGGGTGTGTTTCAGATAGAAGATAACCGGACTCGCACATGAGGGGCGTGTTTAACATATAGGATAGGCGGAATCGCCAAATGAGGGGTGTGTTTAACATATAGGATAAGCGGAATCGCCAAATGAGGGGGTGTGTCTAAGATATAAGATAACCGGAATCGCGAAATGAGGGGGCGTGTTTAAGATATAGGATAACCGGAATCACAAAATGAGGGGTGTGTGTTTAAGAATTTACGCCAAACCCCAAGCCATGAAGACCCAGGTGAGGCCGAAAAAAGAAGATTTAAGTGAGGCAAAAGCTTGGAAAATGTGCAGGTCAAACTCAGGCCGAAAATGAAGTCCTAAGTGAGCCTCGGCCCAACTGGTACCACTGGGTAAGTAGCAGCATTAGGTACCTCCTACTCGGAATTATCATCACTCCCATGCGGGATAATCGTACTTGGAGAACAACTTGACCAATTACGAAGTCTTGAGTCAGAGTCTTCAAGCACGACCTGTGGTTGCATTGCGACCCTGCCTCGGAGGCGGGCGAGATCGGGCATGTGGCCTGATGTTTTGAAGGCCGTTTACGATTGTTCAGAGGAAGTAGTAGAAGGTGACAGTATCGGCTGACACACTTTCTTCATGAGCGGTGCTGCCAGGTCGTAACATGTTTTCCAAACACCACACCTCTTCTTCTATTTGCACGCCTCACGTCGCAAACTCCCAGCAGCAGATGAGGCAGCATACACTCTACTGTGATCAAGACCGCACCTCGATCATGGCGATGTCCAGTGCTCTGGGGCGTCGGCCTGCAAACCGCTGCATAGACTGCAATGCAGTAACTGCTGCCCTCCAAACTGCCTCGCTGCATGCCCGGCTTCGTCGACTCCAGGAGTCAAGCGAGGATGCGGATGATGGGGTCTTGTCGAGGATTGTCGGGCTTCGCACCAAGGACAGGATTTGCTCCTCTGAGTGGCTTTTTGAAAATCCGTCAAGCACGACTCTTTTGCGTGCATACAGTATGCCGGATGATGGCTTCTACATCGTTAGTCGTCGCCTCGCGAGAATGCCAAAACGGCTGCAAACAACACAATGTGTTGCTCAAAACAAACACGAACATTTCAACCTGTACCGCTGCAAAGGATCTCCAGTGGCTGCAAGGGAGGTGGAACGGAATCGGGCTTTGACTCTGCT